TCCAGTTTTGCCCATCAATCTCCAAGGTCCAGRGCAATATTGGAAATCTGGTCCGGTTCAAGGGTTCAAGTAATCCTACACTGCATGTGCCTCGGGTCTCACCCTGGCGGCTGAGACAAGCCACCCCAACAGTTGGCAGCACACCAGTGTCAGCCTTGGCAAGATAAATCTCCCCAGACTTATCCAACGGCTGTGAACATTTAAAACCAACACAAGTCTCATTAAGTGTTCGATTTTAGGGTCTTACACAGAAGTATACCACACAACATGAATCAAACATGTACTTCATTTATTTACATTAAATATCAAAAGCACATCAGAATTGATTGAAGCTAAGGGCATTCAAAAGCTGTCCAACAGAATTACCTTTCAAGCATGTGGAACAGGAGGGGTTGTGTGATAAAATGCAACCTAGATTTCTAATTCCTTCATGCCACATAGTAGCTAGAGATTGTTATAATATTTATTTGGAGGAGGAGAATAATTTAAAACAATTTTTTACAAAGTTGTCATCAAGGATATGCCTCACTACAAACACATGAACTTCTTCTCAAAATTTTAGTTACATGTGTCTCACCTCTCGTTTTATTGATGATTATTGAAAATAACATAAAAAAATTTAAATTTTTGTCCAATTTACAGTCACTTAGGAGAGGTAATTGGCAAGGCTATTGTAAGTACATTTAGCTCATCATCATCGGTGTAAGTACATATAGCTCGTCATTACTGGAATTACAATAAGGACCTTAAACGAAGACTACATAAAGGGATCCCGGCCTAAGAGAGTAGGGTGATTAGACTAAAGAGGGCAATAAGCGGTGTCTGAGGTACTAGAGTAACTGAGACACCTCTATAATAGCACAACAACACTTCATCGAAGTAATGTAAGGCCTACACATTTGCGATGGGCACAAAAGGCCATCCAAGACTTGCGATGAGCATGAAGCACCTCTTGAGACCTACGATAAGAACAAACTATTATCTAAAACTTGCGATGGGTATAAAACAACACTACAAGTCCATGACAAACCTAACATGCTCTTGGCACCCTATGATGAGCATAGAACAACAGCTCACGCCAAGACGAGAGATGGATAAAACCTGATACTAGTGATGCTTGTTTACAAGCGACTTACACCTCTTCCCGTCATAGAAAATTATGATGAGGTTCCTCAAGAACGATTAATGAGACGTTCGAATACACTAGTTGGACCAAGATCCCGCCTCTGACACATAGCCACAAGAGGACCCATAAAGGGACGTAACCTGCACATGCTATGTGAGAACACTCAAGAGAAAGGAAATTTTATTCCTAAAGGATCTCACTAGACATCCGGCGAAACCCTAGTGGTGTTTGTTAGATGGTTGACGTAAAGGCAAAGATCTTCTTCCTCAGTTGGAAAAGTCCTCTTTTGGACTCTTCTCCATATAGCCTCGGGATTGCCTTTATAAAAAGGGGAGGAGGCAAACCGTAGGGGACATGAGAACTTTAAGAACCTACTATCCAAGAATTTCCTTAATATGTCCTTTCTCAGAAGCTTAAGCCTAGTTACAGACCCCAATCTAGGTTACCACCATATTTACATTAGAATCTCTGGTTATTATTGTTAGACAATGTAAGCCCTTAGTTCCAATCAGATTGATGTACATATACATTTATTGTAAATGAATAAAAGTACATTATTGTTTCATGTTGATATTGGTATGTTTCTATAAAACTACCGCTTAAACTGGACACTTATGAGACTCATGTTAGTTTATAATGTTCTCAGTTGTTGGATAGACTTGGGGAGTTTATCCTGCTAAGGCTAACACCGATGTGTTGCCAAAGAAGTTGGGGCAGCTTGTCTCAACTGCTAGGGTTAGACCCAAAGTACATGTAGTGTGTGTGGTTAAAACACTAAACCTGAACCATTTTCCAATTATTCCCTAGACCTTGGAGATTGATGGGCAAAACTGAAAAGTTATACATAACCCCTAGACTTGATTATGGTACTGCACTAGGTGTTGGATTGGGATGTCTTTGATATGCCAATCAGTGAGATCCATCAAGGTTCAAAACCAGGGTATGTTGGGGCAGTTTAAGAATTCATTTGAGTGGGTGATCATAGTGATTAGATCGCCCCCTTTGTCGGACAAAGTGAATGATAGGACTTACAGTCTCTGATGGAAACCTAAACTATCGGTAGTGTATTTCAACTATGCTTGAGATTTGGTTTTGCAAAACATATTTATATGATATATTATATATATGAAAAATGTTTGTAAAAGGTTTTAATTCCCAGACCCATCTGAGTAGAGAGTGTGACACTGTACCTTGCAACCAGGGGAGAGGTCATTCCTTGTCGGGTAGTGTTTGATCATTATGAACCGAGAGGATAAGTGTAAGAAACCATTAAAGGCTGATTACCTCATGGGATTTATCTTACTTAAGTCCATTATCCTTGAGTCTTCATAGGATGGATGAATTCAATGATCATTTAAGTGTAAATGTTAGGGTCATATTGAACCCATAGTGATGTGCTCAGGGGTTCACTATGTTTAGTAGTGAATTCGGCCAACCCTTTTCATAGAAGCTAGGCCAAACCCATGTGGAATTATGTGAGGCCATTGTGGGGTCCCACGCATAAGTTGGCCATGCAACACCCTAGGGTCGTGAGCCTTATAGTTGATGGGCTTAAGGCCCATAATTAATATGATTAATTAAGTTTTCACATGTCAGCTTAAGTTGTCATGTGACATGAGGCGAATCTGATTTTGGATCTAGGTACGGAGCACCTAATCTTATAAGAAGATAAAGTATATCTCTAATTAGAGTCCAAATTTGATTTAGAGTGGATTATCTCCTAATTAGATTAGGAGATAGCTCCATAAGAGATTATAAAAGAGGAGGGGGCAGACTAATCCAAGATAGCTTCATAATTTTGCAGTTTTTGGTTCTTTCTGCACCATTTTTTCTCCCAGTTTTTTCCTAGTTCAACCTTAGCTATCTGGGACTAATATAGATCAGTTTTTCCTCTGATTTTTGCAAGAAAAATTTAGGATATAACAGGCTCAACTTCCCTAGTTCGATCCAAGAAGTTGGATTGCAGTTTTGCTGAAAATTATGTTGTTGAACCATCTTTAGGAATACATTGTGTCATATTCAGTGGAGACTGGCTCTAGGACTTATTTGGGCGTGAACTTCCACTTTGGGATATGCGTTTGTGATATTCATATCAGGTATACATCTCCCACTTTGATTGGTTTCAAATCTGGTCTGATTCAGTGCAAGATCGATTCTAAAAAAATTACAATTTTTTTTTCTAAACATAGGGAATTTGATTCCCATAAAGGTTAGGAAATTTTTGAAATTTCGCCCAACCATCTTACATGGTTTTGCCATCCATATGATGGATCCTAACCCCTCCAACAATTATTCCCCTTGATCACAGAAGATGGCCGTGAGAATGATTAACCTTTCACACATCCCTGAAGAACAACATGCCAACCCCGAGAACCCCAATGTAGACCTTGAAGAACATGTTCTTTAGGAGATAAATGACCAAGTCGACATAGAAATACTGTCCCATAAGGTTTATGAGTTCGAAACACGCTTCGATTGATTGGAGCAGATGTAAACCAAGATGAGTACTTTGCAATTGCTCCTGCAAAGGGAAACCATACTCGAGTACTCTCCATTCACCCCTATCGACCCCCTTTGTGGCACCTTCTAGCTGCACAGGGGCCTCAATGCCTGGAATGCCGATCAGCAGCCATCAAGAAGCACCCACCCACCCATGCCCAATACAATAGAGGACGCAACGCTCCATTGCCTAGAGCAAATTCTTATAGAACAAATTTTCTAGAATCAATTATCACCTTATTCTTTGTCTGTGAGATTAACACTCAAGCACCTTTCTTATCAGTATGCTTATATTTATGAGGGGGATGTAATCAAATTGTGATGAATTTCTTCTACTAGTGCAAGACATGCTAGTAACTAGTTTACTATCTATTGGGTAACTGTTTTTCCATTGTTTCCCTTGATCTTTCTCTTACCAATCAGATTGAATGAGGTCGGTTTAAAATTGGAGGGAAAATTTGGGTTAGTTTAGAGTTGAGCATTTCAGGTTAAAGAGCATGTTAGATCAAGATAAAGATTGAGGATTTAAGAGTTAAAGAACTCAAGTTGCGCTAAGTTAGCCTCAACCCAACATAACCTGGCACGAGTTACACCTCAAACCACAAATGGCTTCACGTCATACTAACAGTTTAATACAAATTGGGCCGTTAAATTGTTAATATAGTTCTTTGGCTCTGAAAAGGGGTCAACATTGTCAACAAATTATCCTCCACTAGTCCACTTTGGACTACCAAATGGTATGGCATCAATGTCGTAAGAGCTTTCCGATCGTCTTTGTAACCAGATTGCTGTTGGACCATGCACCTCATTTGAATGTCAGCAAAGGCAGTTTTTTCTAATGCCCCATTCGTTTTTGGGAAATTATTTACTCATGTTCTTTTATTTTTCAGATAAACAAGACTAACCATTTTAGCCATGTTCCATCCAAATGTTGCAACTTTCCCCCTAGAAGATGGGTATCACTTAAGCTATGTTTGGTTTGAAGGAAAAGGTAGGGAAATGAAAGAAAAGATAGGGAAACCAATACAAGGTTTGTAAAAGTTTCCTTACCTTTCCCTTCCGTTCCCTACATTTTCCTTCAAACCAAACATAGCCTTAGGTATCACTTGTTCGGTTTCTGTGAACCTTACATAAATCTGAAAAAAAAGAACATGGGTATCTTGGTTAATTGGAACCAAAATCCCATTGACCAACTTTTCCCCCTCTGAAAATCCAAAAATCAAATAGGCCCTAAGAGAAAGGACAATAATCTATTCAATCCAGGTATTTTCTACCTTTTGATCCCAATTTGCAGTTCCCACTGTGCGGTAAACCTTATTGTTCTAGCTTAAAGAGGACACTAAGTGAATGTTGTATTTACTTGTACACCACATGATACAACAATAATAAGCTCAGAGGATTTAGAGCTATCTTAACATTAAGCAAGAATATGACAAGTACAAAAAGTCACGGACATTATCATCAGAAACACGTTACTGAGAAATAGATGAGAGAAAAGTACAACGTACAAAAGAACTCAATTAGCATTTACAACTAAGCCTTCATGCAGCCAATTTCTCATGACCACGAATGCCGTCTCTGCATCTGAATCTTCTTCTGGAGATTTTGGCCGGTGGGCGAATCCATGACCTCGACCCTCAAAAATCACTGTCCTAGAACCTTTACTGATGCACTTCTCCATATCTATTAAGGTATTGACTGGGCAAAGTGGGTCCTCGTTTCCAGAAACAAATAGGACAGGAACCTGAATATTAGATGCTAGAGATGGATTCATCCGAGTCCCATAGAAGCAAACACCAAGCCCAAAATATTTGTCATGGTCGTCAGCTAGCGTTTTTATCAGTAGGGCACCTCCAAAGCAAAACCCAATGATAGCAAACTTAGTTGTGATTCCAGCAGCTACAAATTCATCAGCCATCCATTTTGTTGATGTAGAAATATCTTTGGATATCCTGTCAGGTGACTGTGTCGATAGCCAATTTTCATATTCATCCCGGGGTTTATCTTTTACCCACGGATTCCCACGAAACAAATCTGGCACTAGAACACTGCAATTATGGATGAAGGTATATCTTATAGGAAGCAATGGTTTCAATTGATCAATATATTGAAACTAATTGTTGGAAAATGCAGCTAATCCAATCACATGTTCCAAGGATCTGATAGCCTCAGGTAATATTTATAAGATAGTATATTGAGTTTTATGCAGTTCTTGGATTTCTTCACACTTCAGAAAATGTGGAACTGATGAGAATACATGTCCAACTGTCTTGTTATCTTGTAGTGTCTTTTCATGGGTTCCACCATGTCTTCAGAGAGAAGATTCCAAGAGTTGCATAAACCCATTGTTTACTTGCATTCCTCTATTTACAACATAGCACCATTGTGCAACTTAGTTTTGACTTATAATGCTGTTACACTATTCATCCACCTGAATTTTATCAAGGGTCACATTATAAGATCACAAGTGAACCAAATTGTAACAAAGCAAAATTATGCAGCCATCATTGATCCAGAACTTACCATAAAAAATAATCTCTTATTTTGAGTCAGAAGTCTAAGAGAACACATCAATCTGACAATCATAATCATCTGATCACTAGACCATTTGATGTTAAAAGGATATCACAGGCGTCTCAACTAGATCAATGTACATCAAACAGAAAAAAATAGATAAGCTTTTCTGTTTTTTTTTTCATTTTTTTGAGCAAATAAAATAGAAGTGAAGGTTCAACTGTGCAACCTAAGTAGGATAGATCCACATGCAAGATCTGCTAGAAGGATCCCTGTGTGGATTATGGAGAGCAACCGAAGCATCTGAACATAGGTTTTTCCATGTTGCACAGGATGAGACTTGATCCCTGTTCTGTGGTATCTACTCCTATGGGCTTCACCAAAGAGATAGGTCAGTGAAAGTCAGTAGGACATTGAAAAAGTGATAAATAAGCTAGTGGAGGTCAGTAGGATTCTAGGTTTTTTTTTTTTTCTTAGGTGGGGAGGAGTTTGCAAAGGAAGCTTTTAAGTCGGTGGAAGAAATAAATGGGGAGAATGACAATAAAGAGGAGCCAGTGGTTGACTGTAACTCAAGTAATTTAGTCCTTCAAGGGATAAAAGAGACGATTAGAGGATGCAAGAATGGAGAAAAGGAAAAGGAAGAAGATTTGGAGGAGGTGGAGGGGTCGGATAGATGCCAGGAACTTGCTGCAAAGCTGAAAGAAGCTACAGGAACCTTAAACACAGCTAGAAGATACAGATCTAAGAAGGTTTTTTAGGTAGGGAGGAGTTTGCAAAGGAAGCTTTTAAGTCGGTGGAAGAAAGGAGCCAGTGGTTGAATGTAACTCAAGTAATTTAGTCCTTCAAGGGATAAAAGAGCCGATTGGAGGATGCAAGAATGGAACCAAGGAAAAGGAAGAAGATTTAGAGGAGGTGGAAGGGCCGGATAGAGGCCAGGAACTTGCCGCAAGGTTGAAAGAAGCTACAGGAACCTTAAACACAGCTAGAAGATACAGATCTAAGAAGGTTAGGAAAAGTCATCAGAAGGTAGCAATGTCAAAAGGCTTTTGCAAGGCTAAAAGGTGCTCCATTTGGCACTGGGCCTAACAAGGCAGTAAGAAAACATATGCAGTCAGAAGACAACAAGAAGCTTGCATCCAAGATTCAAACAAGAAGACTGATTGAGTTGGAGTAAATTAGGGGTTGGGTTGTTGTTTTGGTTTTTAGCTGGGTGTTGGGTATGGGTGATTGGGGACTGTTAGGGACATTGGTTTTTGGGATATGAAGATTGGGGTTTTTTCGATCTTATTTGTATCATTTTTGTGTAGGTTATAAGAGTTTTGGTGTAAAGGGGTTGGTTTTGTGTGGGTAGGTTGGGATGGATGGTTGTTGTTTTAATCTTCTTGGGTGTTTTTCTTGTTTTATTTCTTTCTCTTTGAGTGATTGCTTATCACCTTTCCTTGTATCTTCTTTTTGTTTTAATAAATTTTTTTTAGTTATCTTCAAAAAAAAAAATATCTTCACAGCACTGATTGCTGCCACCATCTCACCTATTGCCTTCCCACTTAGAGCATTTGCAACCTAGTTGTGCCGCCTAGGGTTATGCTCAAGGGTCACATCGAACTCAACTAAGAACTACCACTAGGCGTGGAAGCAAGATGAGCAAAACCAACATCCAAGTCATTGGTTTTGATCAACTAAAGCAAGACTATGCCGGTTGTAAGGATTTCAGCATCATCTATACCGACTTATCAGCTAGGAAACAAGATGAGTATCCTTCCTTTTCACAACATAATGGTTATCTGTTTTATGATACTTGCTTACATCTACTAAATACCTCTTTACGGGACTTTGTTATTGGGAAGTTACATGTTGGTGGTGTAGCAGGTCATTTTGGTAGAGATAAGACCATTGCTATGGTGGAAGATAGGTTTTATTGGCCTAGTTTGAAGAATGATGTTGTTCGTATAATAAAGCAATGCAGGACATGCCAACTTGCCAAAGGACAAAAGCAAAACACTGGGCTATGTACACCACTACCTATTCCTCATGAACCATGGCAAGATTTACCCATGGATTTTGTCCTTGGATTGCCCAAGACTACTAGGGGTCACAATACAATCTACGTTGTGGTGGACCATTTCTCCAAGATGACTCATATATTACCTTGCAACAAAAAACACGATGCTTCACATATTGCTACTGTATTTTTCAAAGAAGTGGTTCGACTTCATGGAGTGCCTTCTACTATTGTATCAGATCAAGAGACCAAGTTTATGAGTTATTTTTGGAACACTTTGGAAACTACTCAATACTAAGCTGAAATTCTCTACATCGTTTCACCCACAAACATATGGCAGACTGAAGTAGTAAATAGAAGCTTGAGAGATCTTTTACAATGTCTAGTTGGTGATCATACTTCTAGATGGGATCTAGTGCTTCCAATAGCTGATTTTGCTTATAACAGCTCAGTAAATAGATCCACAGGAAGAAGTCCGTTTGAAGTGATGACTGGTATTTAACCTAAGCAGCCAATTGGCTTAGTTACCTTACCACCAAATACATGTACTAGCATTGAAGCAGAAGCTTTTGCTAGGCACATAAGAGAGATGCATGATGATGTTAAGAGAAAAATTGCATTAAGCAATGTTTTATACAAGGCTAGAGTTGATATTCATCGACGGTTGGCAAATTATGAAGGAGACATGGTTATGGCACATATACAACTAGAGCATCTTCCTAAAGGTGTGTACAAGAAGCTTCACTCAAAGAGTGCAGGTCCTTACAAAATCATCAAGAAGATAAGTTCTAATGCCTATGCTCTACAATTGCTAGATGACATGGGAATTAGTCATATCTTCAACGATGAGGACTTAACTCCTTATCAAAGACATGTAGATTCTTTTAAGACTCATTTATCTAAGTTTCCAACTATTGCGTCTCCAAATGACATTCCAGAGGATGTTTTAAATGAGAAAATAATATCTACTGCTGCAGGAGGGTATCAAAATTCCTTGTCAAGTACAAAGGCAAGCCTATGTCTGAGGGTTCTTGGATCACCACTGAAGACTTTCTTGTCTCAATCCAGATCTTTATGAATGATACCATGCTTTTAATTTGCCAAGGTCGAGTTCTTTCAAGCAGAGAGAGATGATATGAATCGATCAGCACCCCTGAAGACTTATTCTAGAAAGAAGGCCTTACAACAGGTCCTAATATGGCATAGTGATGGTACTTGGGATTTGGACTGAATAAAACACCAAGGGTATTTTTGTCATTTTATAATTTTTCTGTAGGGTCTAATAATAGGGCTTGATAGACATTTATAGTTTGTTTGTGTAAAATTTCAGAGTCATTGCATAAGTAGGTGTAAGTACATGGAGTTAACCATCGTGATGAAAGACATCCATCGCCAGAACATAAACACAACTGTATGTCTATGATCCAGAATCACGAATACACAATGTGCAGTAACACCAAAGTTTGTGGCGACTCTTACGGCATCACATTGCCTTTGCAGTAGCAACAATATTACTCCAAATGCACACTTACAGAAGACACCCTTGCGATGCCACTCTCAAAATACTAAAACGATTCCCATAAGAGGGACCACATTGCAACGAGCAAGTTTCTAGAAGAGGTTGTACCTTCAGATGTGCTCACATGCAGACTCTAAGGACAAGAGTTCCCAATCCTAAGAAACTCTCATGGACACGTGGTGAAACCTCGAGTCTCTTACTTATTTAGCACTTAACGAATTTTAAATACCTTCCCACGATGGGAAAGTTTCCTGGGTCTCTCCCTAGTGTTCCTCTAAAAACCCTAGCCTTTTATCTATATAAGAAAAAAGAAGCCTCCTAATCCCCATGTAAGACACCTCTCTCTCTCACTGTTCTCTCTAGACCTTTGGAGACTTGACTAATTGATCAGATTCTACGGCACTCACATTAGAGTCTTTGGTTGACGACTCTGATCTCTAGAGAATATAGCATAAGGTCCAAGCTTAAGTATCAACTTCATCATGAGGCAACTCTCTCTCGTATAAAATGCCTGTCAACCTCAATGTATTTAGTTTTGTCATGTTGAACAGGATTGTGTGCAATGTTGATATCAGCCTGGTTGTCACAATATAACATCATTGGCTTCTTACAGTCTATACCCAATTCATCTAAAAGTGATATCAACCACAGAAGTTCAGAAACTCCATGTGCCATTGCCCTATATTCCGCTTCAGCTGAAGATCTTGCCACTACAGACTGCTTCTTACTCCTCCACGATACAATGTTCCCTGCTACCATAGCACAGTAACCTGAAGTAGACCTCCTATCATCAATACATCCGACCCAATCAGCATCAGTGTATGTTTCCAGCTTCATGTGTTCATGCTTAGCAAACAAGATACCTTTCCCTGGAGTCCCTTTTAGATAGCACAGAACTCTCTCAGCAACTGCTAAATTGTATCTCTGGGAGAATGCATAAACTGGCTGATTACACTAACTGCATAGGAGATATCTGGCCGAGTCATGCAAAGGTTAAGTAACTTCCCAACTAGTCT